TAGGTTTCCAACGCTCCAGGTATGCCAGTTTTTATTCCCCGGCCAAAGGTCGGATACTTTTCTCACAGGCCTCGTATATCATAACATGTCACCATCCCAACCAAGCAAAGATTCACACTCGTTTTGTTACTAATACAACTTTCATATTGTTGTGCACAATATGAATGTTGTATATCTAGTGGTTATCCCACACAGTTGCTTTCCATTGTTATTAAATATTAAACTATTATAATTCCACATAAAAAACTGGAAACTTTGTGGATCAATAAAATATTCCCATTTCAAAATGGTGTTCAACCTGCAAGTTTAAGCATTATTTAAAACAATAAGTGTTCAGAATAATTTTTTTAATTAAAATTATTCAAAACATGTTAGGGCAGACCTGTGAAGTTTCTCAATAGAACAATCTTGATCAATAAATGTCAACAGCATTTCAACGAGCAATGAAACTACAAAGCTGCATTAGTGGAATCCGAGGGTATGTTTAACAATGTTTGCAATAACATATAAACTGAATATAGGAGCTTACCATGCAGAACTCATAACTGTCAAGTGTACAGAGCAGATCTATAAATGGCTTACCTTGTATAGTTTACAAAGTGTATGAAGTTCAAAGTCTGACATGACTTGCATATCTTCTACAACACGATCCTCATTTGCTTCCCTGTGTGTCGGCTCCTGGAACCAAGTTTAAATCATTGATTTCACCTTCCTATTATAATTATTTCCTTTTGGAAAAAATTTAAACATAAATTAGAAGTTCTTTGCTGTGTTATCATACCATTTTAAATCGTATACCTAATATTATGTACAAGTACAAATACTCAAGTGAATGTGAAGCCTATATACGTAATTCACTGAAATTGTGCAATTGCTCAGCTCCCTAATTCAAAGTTGAACCCATCAGACATTAATCAATGTCAACTCTGTGCTCTTAAAAACACTCCAGCATTCTACTAGTTTTTCTACTAAACAATTATTTAATGTACATTTTTATGATCAATTCTCTATAGTACTAAGCAAGAGATATTAAACATATTTTGAGCAATTTTTCAATATTGAACAGGTTCCTCTTTCATAGTAAATAACAAATGTTAGTTAAGTGTTTTAATTTTCATTCAGTTCTTACCCTAGTACCAGTAAAAACATAAGGTATATATTTGGGCTGACAATTCTCAAGTTTAGAAAAAATGTAACAGACATTTAACACACTGATTTGATTTGTTCATTTATTACAATTATATTTACACACATAAAACGCAAGTCTGTCCTTCTAGCTTGTTCATTTATTACAATTATATTTACACACATAAAACGCAAGTCTGTCCTTCTAGCTTGTTCATTTATTACAATTATATTTACACACATAAAATGCAAGTCTGTCCTTCTAGCTTGTTCATTTATTAGAATTATATTTACACACATAAAATGCAAGTCTGTCCTTCTAGTTTGTTCATTTATTACAATTATATTTACACACATAAAACGCAAGTCTGTCCTTCTAGCTTGTTCATTTATTACAATTATATTTACACACATAAAACGCAAGTCTGTCCTTCTAGCTTGTTCATTTATTACAATTATATTTACACACATAAAACGCAAGTCTGTCCTTCTAGTTTGTTCATTTATTACAATTATATTTACACACATAAAACGCAAGTCTGTCCTTCTAGTTTGTTCATTTATTACAATCATATTTACCCACATAAAACGCAAGACTAATCTTCTAGCTTTATGTTTGCTTACAGCTCACTTTTTATTTTGTTAAGATAGTGTAACTTAACATTTGTTTACAGGTAAGTGAATTTTTGGTTCTCTTTCCAAGATACAGAAAATTGAGATTTAAGATAATAAAACAATCGGAAGCATCTCTATTATAGAGTACTAAAATGTGATAACAACATAAAAAATTTTATTCTATGGAATGCATTTTATAAGTTACAATGGTTCTAAAAAACTATTTTTCAACTATCGTTATATCTAAAAGTTCTAAAGTATGACCACTTTTAATGGAAAAATTTTTTTGGCCATAAACCACTAGGATCAAAGATTATGGTTATAATTTAACTTGTTTTTGTTCATAGATAACTTACTTCTGTTAAAACCTTAATGTTACACCACAGCTTGAGATATGTTTACAGACAACTCATTACTGCCAAGAAATTAATGTTACACCGAGGCTTGATATATATATTTACAGACAACTCATTACTGCCATGAAATTAATGTTACACCGAGGCTTGATATATATTTACAGACAACTCATTACTGTCATGAAATTAATGTTACACCATGGCTTGATATATATTTACAGACAACTCATTACTGCCAAGAAATTAATGTCACACCATGGCTTGATATATGTTTACAGACAACTCATTACTGCCAAGAAATTAATGTTACACCGCAGCTTGATATATATATTTACAGACAACTCATTACTGCCGTGAAATTAATGTTACACCATGGCTTGAGATATGTTTACAGACAACTCATTACTGCCATGAAATTAATGTTTCACTACGGCTTGATATATATTTACAGACAACTCATTGCAGCCCAGAAATTTATGTTACACCATGGCTTGATATATATTTACAGACAACTCATTGCAGCCCAGAAATTTATGTTACACCATGGCTTGAGATATGTATACAGACAACTCATTACTGCAATGAAATTAATGTTACACCACAGCTTCATATATA